GGATCGGGATCAGGTGTCAGCCCCTCGGGAGGGCCGGGATCGGAGCTCCCGGGAGCGGGTGTCGGCCCCTCGGGAGAGCGGAATCGAAGGGGGTGGGAGCGATTGTCAGTGTCCCGGGAGAGACAGGACTAGGGCTCCGGGGAGTGGGTGTCATTCCCGGGAGAGCTGGGATCGGGGGATGGGAGTGGGTGTCAGCCCCTCGGGAGAGCGGGGTCGGGGCTGGGTGCCATGGGTGTTCGCCTGTCACAGCAGCTGTCGCAGCCAGATGTGTTCTGTCTGTTCCGTGTCTCCAGGCTCAGGTGTGTCCCTGTCCTGCTGTAACCCCAGCCCGCAGCTCGGCCCCCGCAGCCGCTCGCTCCCTCCCCCGAGAGGGAATGGGGGAGGGAGTCCCAAGAGTAAAAGCTGCAGAACTCCGCGTTAAGATAGGATACTTTGATGAGCAAGGTACAAGCTGCTCACACAAGCAGATGAAAATAAGGAATCCATTCACCACTTCGCATGAGCAGGCAGATGTTCAGCCATCTCCAGGAGGGCAGGATTCCATCACACCTGATGGACAAACGCCTCCACTTCGAGCATCCTTCCCCTTCCTTATTCCTCCCACTCCGAATGTCCACCTCTTCCTTCTGCCCCTCATTTATATATTGAGGATGGCACCGTACCATACACAGGGATGGTTTTAAACTAAAAGAGGAGAAAGTTGGATTATATATTAGGAAGAAATTCTTCTCTTTGTGCTGAGGCACTGGCACAGGTTGCCCAGAAAAGCTGTGGAAGCCCCTCCCTTGGAGTGTTCCAGGTCAGGTTGGATGGGACTCTGAGAAACCTGGTCTAGGGGAAGGTGTCCCTGCCCATGACAGGGGGTGTGGAACTCAATGAACTAGAAGGTCACTTCCACCCCAAACCCTTCCATGACCTCAAGTAGCTTTGGCCTGTGGTGTTTTCTTCATCTATGCTTAAGACTGCTGTCAGTCCGATTTGATAAATGTTGAATAAAATTTTAAGATAAACTTTCCCAGACTTTTAAATTTTAAGCTCTTAGAATATTCCTTTATTATCAGCTGATGAAATGGAGGGTACAGGGAAATTACCATCATGGCATTTATAAATTATTTATTTATAGATGTGCTTGTACAGTTTGTAGACCTGAAATAATAGGCCTTGTTTGAAACCCTAAGTAATAGTTCAATACAAGGTTAATTAAAAATGCTGGTGTGTATTTCATTACTTACATGAGTGGCACGTAGCTGTCTCTGGGATCAGCTCTATAAAGAATTCTTAAGCAAATCATTCTTTAGATTAAAACCCTGACAGTGGAAAATGGATGTGATTTGCTTTCTTAACTGGTAGATCATAGTTTTTTTAGACTTCAGTGGTGTGCTGAGCATTGTGCTAACATAATGTATTTTCTGCCTCTGAGTAGGTTGTAGGTCCTGAAGGCACCAATCCCTTATTCCTGTTCATGTGTTCAAAGCAATGACCAAAGCTTCCAATGACTGCCTGGGCTAGGAGGCTGCTTGCTATGATGCCTTGCATGAGGCTGATGCTGAGTATTTATTTAGTTACTCTAGGCAATAGCTAAAGTACTCAACTTGCTGGATAGCTTCCTTTTGGTCATTTTTCTGGGGAAAGCAGTGAAATGGATAGGAAATAATTGAATCAAAGAATTTCTTTCCCACTTGGATAAAGTGTAAGGTAAAACTGTAGGCTCAGTTTTTTACAGCTCTTTCAGAATATTTTGCTTAATATTATTGTGCTGGAGTATTAACAGGCTAGAGGTCCACCCTGTAGCTTGGATTTCAGTAAATGTTTTAGCAGTAATTATTCATTATTTCTAAGTCTGTGCAAATGATGCTAGTCACGTAGATATGTCTTGTCAGAATCTGTATGAGGTATTTTTTGGCTCCTCATTTGGAAAGGTTTCATTGCTGTTATCAAAGCTGAGATTTGAAATTTTTGTGCAGTAATCGGAAAAGCTGAGTGGAGGGAATGCAGAAAGCAAACATAGTTCCTTTATTCAGATTTGGTACCTTAAACATGGCTGTGCATACTGTTAGTAATGGATGTCAAACTGTGCTGTAATAAAACAAATGTTAGCATTATTTTTCTTTCATTTTATTGATGACTAATTAGCTGTTTGAGCTGTATCAATTATAGTCAATCAACTTTGTGTAATAATACCTTTTCCCCTTACAGTATTTCATCCTCAAGACAGCCATCCTGACATGGGAGAAATTTTACATGTACCTAATTGAAATCCTAACAGAATAGTGAATGCAATTTCTAGCTAAGCTATAAAATGAAGAATTAAGAGCAGATGGCCCCTTCAGAAAAATAGATTAAACAGAATAGATACTCCTGGCCAGCTACATAGTTAATCTCATGCTTCTTGTTAAGGGGTACTGCCAATGGATAGTTATTATGCAAAGGTAAAGTAGAAACTGCATGAATTTACTGAAAAAAGCTTTTCTTCATTCCCAACTTTTTCTGGTAATTCAGTCTTATGTTTGTATTTTTGTACTTAGTTATAGCAAATATGAGTGGTAACTTACTGAATTTGTTGTGCCTTGCTTTAGAAAGGGATCCTGCAAAAAGAACAGCTCTGTGAATGTGGTTCCATTTATGATCAACAAAAATTCATTGCAGCATTTCTGGTATTTTCTGGCACTGTGACACAATGATGATTGAGTCTTTAAACTCAAATGTCAGATTTGGTAGAGGGATTTGTGAATGTGTCTTTCCTGTTGGCAGGAGAAAGAACTTATATTCCCTGTGGTTAAATGTTCCTTTCAGATGTATTAGTAGATAGTCATATTTTTCAGTTCAGTGAAGCACCTTTATTTCTTGAGTGTATGCAAAATAAGACATTCCAGCCTTTTTAGGTGGCTGTTCTGTATGTGGCATGCCATTCCTGCACTTGCTCTAAGGTCAATGAATCCAGAGGGGAAGTGAGATTTGAAACTCAGTAATACATGATCCTTTCTCTAGGAAGAGTTCTTTATGGGTAGACAAGTATCCATTGTGACCGAATTTCTTCCCAAACTCACTTTTTTTTTGCTTTGTTTCTCTCTAGTAGCAAGGAGCAATAAAAAAATCTACCCTATTAATTGGTTATTGCTGTCTCAGCTGTCCTTCATCTTTTAGTTACTCACTCTAAATTTCTTAGGCAGCTGTATTTTTTAAAATTCATTCCCTTTGTCCTCTGCCACATCTAGAAGTTAACTTCTTTCTGTACTTTTGGAAAATGGAGCATCAACATTTTCTTTCCCATATAAAAGCAATTTAAGCATCACTGAATCAAGAAGTAATGGCACCTCAGGTAGTTTGCGTTGGCACTTTTCTTATTGTTTCTTGGCAGACAGAAGTGATGAAGGAGCAGAAACTTGAATATATGGGGCCGTGAATGCAGGTGGGGGACAGGCAGGGCAGCTGTCTGGTTAGAAGCAGCTTCTGCCAGTTCCCAGCACTATTGTTAAAAATATGATCATTTTTGTTTTTGCTGTCGCACCTTGCATGTAGGTGAACTTCCCTGGCTGCGATTTGTCTTGCTGCACTTAAAGGTGTCAGCTGTCTTGTGCCTGTGACACTTCGTAGTAGTTGATTTTTTGGCTTATGATTTGTAGAAATGTACTGAAATCTGCCATTTAAACTATTGAATGCAGGAATTATTCCCCTAAAAGCACACATACTCATCACTGGGAAAAAGTTGTGTTTGGTAAAAATTGGCATTTTGAAATTAACTGGATTAAAACTAAAACGAGTAACGTGTCTAAAGTTAATTCATCAAATATCTACATGACATAATTTGGCTACAGTAAAACTCAGGAATCACATTTTAGAATTCTGTATAAGCATTTGATTTTAAACTGTCTTCAAAACAAATTAGTAAGATGAATGAATTTACAATGTCTTGACTGCACAGAATATGCAGTTTTCCTGATTCTTACAGCTATACCATAACAATGTCTGTTGGAAAGAAACTTAGACCTTTAAAAATACTTTTTACTGAACAAAGATGCTTTCTGTAAACAAATTTACTAACCTGAAATACAACTTACTCAGAAGGAACTGCTTAGTTCTTTTTAAGGTAAACATGAAGATACTTTGTGGAAAAATTTTGAGTCAGAGCTGTTTCTTATGGCAAATAAACCCATACCATAAATGTTATTAAACTGTACTATATTTTAGCTTTGTAAGGTGTGTTTCAGAAAAAGCTTACTGGCATAAGTTGATAGTTACTTCAGATATTTTTGCAGGTATAAAACTTAGTTTGTTTCATTTTTTTCTTAAATATGGAAAGATGAATATGTTCTATTAGGTAAATTCTAGAATTACTAGTTTGAGGGAAAAAAAACAACAACCCTTTCTTCATAGACGCCATGGAAGTTGGAAGATTGCCTTCTTCAGGAAAGAAGTCGTCTTCTTCTGTGGACAGACACATGGTCCTGCAGAGGCAGAGATTTATTGCAGCTGTAGATGTGGCTGCTTTCCTGCAGAAACAGGTCTTGAAAGATGTTTGGTCCCTTCCTTATGATTTGGAGCTGGATTGAATCCATAAGATGGAATTTCAAGTTTTATGACACTTCTTTGGGAGTCTGATTTGTGAGTTGCACAATTCTGTGAAGTGGTTCAACTAACTTCATGAGGATAAGTTTAACAGCATAGTATTTGGGAAAAAAAATTGAATGTGGTAGCAATATGCATTAATTCTGTGTAATATGTGTCTTCATACACAGAAAATAATTTGGATTTGCATGCTATTGAGCATTTGGAATGCATTATAATTAATGTTATCCCTATGCTAGTTAAAAATTAACTTGGATGCTAGAAGTTTTTAACATCCAATTTATGTTGAAACTCATACATAAAATTACTGCACAAATTTCTTTAAGCACTTTCCCATAGGACAGTAGATGTGCAAGCTGCCTTTGTACGTTTTTCCTGCCAAATTACATTACTGCAGCCCAGGACTGTAATGGGTGACAAAAAATAAAAGGACTGCCTACAATAATTTTGACATAAGTGGTGCTTTGCCTCTTTATCTGCTGGATAAAGTGCACAGTGGAAGTGCCTTCCTTCTGAAGGAATCATGGAGTGGTTTGGGTTGGAAGGACCTTAAAGGCCATCTAGTTCCAATCACCTTCCACAGGACCAGCTTGCTCAAAGCCCATCCAACCTGGCTTTGAGGTTAGAGGATTAAGGTTGTGTTATCCTAATCCAGGATGGTGTGTTGGAATTAGTCCCTTTTCTTTCACATGTGCCAACTAATGTCCATAGGTTTGTTTCTTACATCTGTGGATCAGAATGCACAAATGCTTTAGGATGCTTTAGGTTGTTACCTTTTCCATAAATATTATGAAAACATTTTGAAAAAATTTGTGATTTTTTGTTTGTTTTACAGAGTAATATACAGTTCATCTATTTTACGACCCATGACATCCACC